TTTCTAGTTCGTAACATTAGTATTATAGAAAGCAACAGAAAAAATGCGGAAGTTTTTTCGCTGCATCCATAACCTTTCCAAAAATAATCTTATTTCAATGTAAGCTTAATTGTAATGTTACTCATATTCGTACCATGACGAACCTGTTAACCAAGTAATGTATTATACGTCTATGATTATTGCAAAAGTGATTGAAAGAACGAATGATTTCCCAATATTGTCTATTCCTTACTAAAAATAGGAAAAAGATAACGCTGTGTGAACTATACAGGCTGTCTATTTGAAAGTGAGACATATTCATAGATATAGTAAATCATGTTACAACTTAACATAGACTAAAATAAAATTTGGATATTGGATAGAACAAAAAATAAATCAACAAATGTGTTTTGGTGTATACATAAGAATAAACCGATTCCCATTACGCTTGATTTCGAGTGCAATGGGAATACTACCAAGCGAGCGCCGAGTGAGATAGCAACAATAACAATGATTTCACATCTCCCTTCCTACTTAGAACCAACAAAGCACCTCATTTCTCTAGAAAATAAAAACCACAAACTAATAAGAGATATAAAAACTAAGTTGCTCACCTACGCATATTTATGTTATGATGAAAAAAGCTGTTCTTCGAAATGATTACGTTTTAGTTTATGCTAATTATTTTTTACTTCTGGACTATCGTCGAAATGTTTTACGTACTAAAAAAAGATAAGTTTATGATTTAGTAACTAGTTATAATTTAATAAGAATTGAGGTTTTTAGTGTACCTAGTTAAAAATGTGAAATCAAATTATTTACAATGATTGATTTTTTAGTTATTTACAGTTTATTTACACTTACGCGCTACGGAGCTGGTGTTCATAATGTCCATTTTCCACAACCTCCGTTTCCGTTTTTGCTGGGGTGCAGCCATCGGGCGAGCGGAAGTACAAATGATGTACGCGTCTTCGCTAGGCCAAGGTTACGCGTGCATTGTTTCCACTGTTTCTCTAGCACTTCGCAGCACTTCACAACACACACAGCAATTTCGCAGAAGCGCCCGCGCCCCCACCCCCGCTCGTCGTTGCGTCGGAGCAATAATAGTGATGTGCATAGATTTCGATAACTAATGTTGTTCACAAATAGTAGTCGATAATTTTTTTTTTGTAAAGTTTAAGTTCATTAGTTTATTGTTTCTTTGAGTTCAGAATCAGGAATATAACGCACTCTATAAGTATGTCCCACTTTCAAATATACAGCCTGTATAATGCCATCTCTTCTTTTTTGATGTTCCGAATCGTCCTATCGTAGTACAATGTTTAAGTACTTAATGTTATTTACATTCAAAGAATTTTGACTGTTAAGAAAAGAAAAGTATGTAATAATAAAATCTATTAAAATTACGTTGTTTTCAATAATTATTCCGCATTTTCATGAATAAAAAATAAATAAAACAAGCTGAGTCTTGATAGTCACGTTGTGAGTTCGAAACTATAGTCTAGTGTCAACTGTTAGTTTCGCCAAGGAGCATACAGATGGCGCTGTTATAATTTTACGAAATAAATTTCGCGTATTATTATTTAACGAAAAATTATTTACTATGCGCTATTAAATTTAAAAAAAATGTTGGAGAGATATATGTAAATAAATAACTTCAATTTAACTTTTAATCATTTCATCACAAATCAATATTAATAATAAATAATAAAAAAATAAACAAGTAAATAAATATTGCTAAATTTGACTTAAAAGCAATATTACTTTATTGTTAAATTCGCGTCATGGTACGAACTGAGTGAATGAATATCACAAAGCTGCCAATAAAACATCATAGTTTTAACATTACAATAAGGTTACTTTAAGCGCGTTATGGTACGAAAAGTCAATGTAAGGTTGGAGTAATATTGTTTTAAGAGGTTGCGGTAGGAAAAAAAAAAAAGGCCCCCTGGCAATCTTACACGCACACAAATGCGCATGTCCCTTCCCTACAGTGCCTTTCCTAGTTGTTACGCATACAATAAATGAAAAGCGGCTTCACTTCGTTTGTTGGCAATACTCCATCTGCCTATTGTTTTGTAATCTGAGACTATCGGTACTTCACACTACGAGCGACAAACATAATCGAACAAGGTACAATCGATACTGATACTGTTATAAAGCGACAGTGTGCGCGCACAGTCCATAACTGACCGAAATCCGAATCGTCAGTATACGCCGCGATGCGATGTGAGAGAGCGAGGGCGTGTCTCTATGTGTTTATATCTGTGTGTTTATATTTATCTTGTTTTGTTGGTTATTTTTTATTTAGTTCTTTGTTTTTTTAACCCGGCGTCATTGTGGTAGGAAATTGAGGACTGTGAGGTGGGTCAATATTACCCACATATTTAACGTATAATATTTGCAATGTTTTTGTATAAATCCGGAATCTTTGTTATTTAATAGCATAATTATACTTTGAAATTAGAAATAACAGAAATAAATATTTAATCACGAACTTTTAATTAGGTTTATGACACTTTTACATAAACACACAAAAATTAACAACAAAATTGAGCTTTATTATATTTATTCACTATTAATCAGTCCTTTCAATTGTTTTTGGCAGTTTTATAAATGTAATCTTTGGAAACAAGTATAAAAAAGTTAAATCTATCAAGTCTATGCCGCTTACGATAGGAACGGTCCAAAGCACAAAAGTGTCAAGTCATTGATGTGCTCTTGCCTGTAGTAGCGTTACATTTCTATCGCCGTGACTGTCGTTCCGGTTCCAAAAAAACCACAGTGATAAATCATCGTGATTTTGTCACGACTGTTACTTCCGTGAGCTTGTCACGCCTATAACTTACATTACGATATACGGTTTTAGCCAGCGGCTTCTTTCTAATACTTATAGCCGTTTTTTATAGAATGATTTAAGTTTTTACTCCCTTTGTAATAAGTTTCAATTCCATTCAAAAAGTTGATTTTGTATTAAATGTAATTTTGTTTGTTACTTATTTAATGCGAATCTTTGGATTGTTAAAAATAGCAATAATGTGTAATGTAATTATATTTCTAGTAGAATACACAAAGTAGATTATACTCTTCCTATAATAAAACAAATATACAAAAATATTTTACTTTGTTCATAAATTTATAATAACTGCTGCAGATTTTTTTCATCCGCCTTTTCTAGTAGTAATAATCATCTACGACCCTTGTGAGTGAGCAAAGAAAGTCATCCTATTTCATTCACTCCCATCGCCGAAATGGCCCGATTTGAAGAGAACTACAACGAGTAGCGCACTCAGTCACCACGGAACGGAGATCGCGCATTATATCAAATACGTATGTCGTGATTTGAGTGACGGGGATAGCTATTGGAACGGAGGAACACCTATGTGACTCTAGAACGTCGTTCTTTCGGAACGAGTCACGGCGACACTGTTTGACGGCGGATCATCGTGATTTTTTCATCGTGACGTGATTTATCACCTACCTCTAGACTGTACCAAATAAATGCACACGGCACTCTGAAATCTCAACATATTTTATCTTATTTCTCATAAACTAATCAGCAGATCGAGCTGGAGTTTCTTTTACTTCAGAGTATTAATAAAGTACAAATTTTTGGAATAAGAAGTTTTTATAGTTATCAAATAAATACTGCTAATCAGAGGTACACCCGCCATATTGACAGTGGTGTGTACATTTGATGTTGCTATAACTTCTTTCTGAAGGAGGTACAAATTTTTTAAATAGAGGTACCTACTAAATAGTACAAATTAAGTACATTTTTTTGATACCTTTGTCAGGATCCGCTAAGGTACACCCGCCATTCTGACTCTCACAAAACCTTCGATGAATTTGATAAGATAGGTTAATGTCTCCATTTTTAATTATGATTTATTTTCTTTACATTACACAACAAATTTGAAAAATATCAACTATTGTTGACATTTATGTAAGATGTGCTTTGTAGAAATATGTAATAACACATAGCTTATCCAACAAAATCAATACGAAGTACGACATCGAAAGTTCCAAAATTATACGGCACAACGAGATGAGTACGGGAAAGGACATTTTGGATGTATTTTTATTAATTCAACATACCTATCTAACATAAAAAACCTTCAGTATAATAAAGAATGACATTTAGATGTCATTGTCGTAGTTTAGACTATCAAATAAAATTACTTAAATGTGTATTTCAATTAAGACATCGGTCAAAACCATTTTTTATACGCCGTTGTTCTACTATTTCCCATAGTGCGGGAACTGAAACCGAGCTAGCTCAAGTTCACAAATAGTAGCTCGAGTTGACTCGTTGTGGGAGTAACTCGAATTAAATAACTCGACTCGCCCATCGCTTTAGTGTAGTGTAGACTTGTGCCTTATTGGTCCTTAGAGGGAGCGATCCTAGTTAGTTCAATCGGTCAACTGAGCTAGGTGGATCTTCTAGTTCATTTAGTTCATCTAGTTCCTTATTTAGTTAGTTCGTCTTGTAATTTATTAATTAAAAATAGTAATTTTGTTCACATGAACTACTACGGACTTCTAGTATTATGAGGTCAATACTACACTGTATTAAATATTTAAAAATACAATTTATAAATACCTACCACACCGACCAAAAAGGAATACTTTTTTGCAAGCTTGTATATACATAATGTAGATACGTATTAGAGACTTAGAACGAGCTGGCAACGTTCAAACGTGCATCCGACTCGAACTTGTACTGAAAGTAGTGAAAGATCGCTATTTGTCCCGCTCGCACCGATCCTACTGAATAAAAGGCAGGTGAAATGTAGACAGTTCCTGTCCGTACTGAACTAAAAACAACGATGTACTATTAAAACCGTCCAAGACGAACTAGTTCATGTCGGTCAGTATCGGGAATATATTCCTAATAGTTCGTAGTTCATGAACTATACAAGCCTATATAGTGTAGTGTTTAAAACGTTTCCAATCACACTTCCTTGTTTTGTTTCGATTATTATTTTGGATAGATAGATACAATAAGATACGTACGATAAGGATATACTCACCCAATAGTATGAGAACGTTTCGGGCTTTGCTTGACAAGACTGTCTCAGTTACAAGTAATAAGACAGTGCCAATGATGCTCAGTGCGTCCGCCATATTCACTGATAAGGTGTTGTCAGCAAGCTGACATATGTGTAGACTGAAGACTGTAGTGTTGGCAGTTTGCCGCCGGCTGCCGCCTTTCAACATCTTTTTACTGACCTACTTACCGACCAGCTCAACTTTGCCTCCAAAATTCAAATTAGAGAACACCACGCAATTTTGTTTATAGGTATCTTGTGCACAATGGAGAACCGAAAGATTTTATACTTGTTCGACGTGGACGGCACCCTGACGAAACCGCGACAAGTAATTAGTAAGGAGTTGAAGCAGTTTCTTTTGAACAAAGTGAAGCCGAAGGTGGCACTCGGTCTGGTGAGCGGCTCGGATTACAGCAAGGTTGCGGAGCAGATGGACGGCGAGGAGGCGGCCGCGCACTTTGACTATGTTTTTTGTGAGAATGGCCTCATGTACTTTCGCAATGGGCAGCTTGTTTCTGCACAAAGCATCCTCAACCATCTTGGTGAACAAACCCTTCAGAAAGTGATCAACTTTGCATTGAATTACATGTCCAAACTCGAGCTCCCAGCCAAGAGAGGCAACTTTATAGAATTCCGAACCAGTATGATCAATATTTGCCCAGTTGGTCGCTCTTGTAACCAGACAGAAAGGGACCAATTTGTACAGTTTGACGCTGTGCATAAAGTTAGAGAAACATTTGTAAAGGTATTGCAAAGAGAATTTGCTAGTAGTGGATTGACATTTGCACTTGGAGGTCAAATCAGTGTGGATGTGTTTCCGAATGGGTGGGACAAGACCTACTGTCTGAGACATGTTGAATGTGACAATTATGAGGAAATACACTTCTTTGGAGACAAAACTGACCCTGGGGGAAATGATTACGAAATTTACACAGATCAGCGCACCATTGGACACATGGTTACATCCCCAGATGACACCAAGCAACAAGTACAACAGTCTCTGAATATTCTATAAAATTGGCTAATTTTTAGTTTGGTTCCGTAAAATCTAAATATGTCTATGTGATCAATTTATCTGTAAAATAACTGTTTTAACACAATAACTATTTGTGAATATAATATATCGAAAGATACAATTATAAAATATATCACATAGAAACATGCGTTGTAGGTTAACTTGAGCCAATAATAATAAATGTAAACTCTGCCTACCCCAATGGGGATCCAAGGACATGAGTATATGTGCGAAGAGTATATGTATACTGTACAGATTAATAGTATACATATAATAATACTATTGTGCATGTTTTCCTCTCTTGAGGACCAAATATCAAAAAGAAAATCAAAAATAGGTGTCTCTTTGGAGTCAAAATAAATATTGCTTCATCGAAGTCAGTAGTTGGTATCAAAATCACCTAAGTGTCGAGTGTTTTGTCTAAATAAACAATAATCAACTTAAATTCCAGAATTTTTAAGTGCCACTTTAAACTATTAGTTGTCATTCTATTATAGTAGTTAGTCTATTAGGTGCCACTATTCTATTCTATTCTATTCTAATTCTATTGATCCCCTGCTACCCTGTTTACCTATGCATACTACTTATAAAAAAATAATAGTCACTTACCTGGAGGTATTCCACTTATTTCATTAGCCATTAAATCTAACCAAGGTTGACCAAGTAAAGGGCGGTCTATATTTTACAGTCATAGTTATTTGTTAACTTGACCCAATAACAAAAACATATTATGCAAAAGAATAACACATATTTTAACTGTCATTAGTCATTACATATTTATTTTAAAACATTTAATTAACAATATTTTTTAATTGCAACAGCATAGGGAAATCTGAATACTCTGATTCAAGGAAACTGTCTTATGTACCATTGGGACTTTACAATTTTGATAGAGTTTCTACTTATTTCATTGCTACATCATATTTTTTTCCTATTGTATTCATATATCATTGCATTGGAAGAATAAATATGAATGTGTAGAAGTGGGTAAAATTTTATAAAAACTTATAATCTATTATTGGTTAATCTGTATTTGCCACAAACACTACAGCCACATTTTGGAGAGTTTGTAGAAATTAAAGTCTACATGTTAACATTAGTGATGGCTTGATTATCATTTCATCGTGACTTATTGACCTTTGTAGACCGGTTTCCTCTTTTCAAAAAAGGCTTTCATTCCCTCTTGTCTGTCTTGAGTGGGAATGTTCATCTCATAGTACTTTTGCTCAACGTCATAGCCTTCCTTTATGGAGACCTGTATGCCCTCGTTGATGGCCAACTTTGCACAGCGCAGTGCAACCGGGGCATTAGCAGCGATCTCGCGCGCTAGCACTAACGCACGCTCAAAAGCCCCATTGTTGCTGTTGTTGTTCTGAGCCACCACATGGTTCACCAAGCCTAAAACACCCACAATAATGTGCTCCAGTTTCCTACAATAAATAAATGCATAGGTACTAGTTGTACTACTATGAAATTGTAATCATGAATAATATGAAAGAAAAGTAACGTCGCCAACCTAACTGTTTGGCTTCGTTGCCATTTACTATCCGCGAAGTGAATATGAGCTCCTTGGCGATGCTGGGATGGACCTCGCGAGGCAGGCGCTGCGTGCCCCCGGCACCGGGCAGCAGCCCGCGACTGGTCTCTATTAGACCTAGGCGCGCTGAAGCCGCGGCCACGCGTAGGTCGCAGGCCAAAGCTAGCTCCAACCCGCCGCCTACAGCCACGCCTTCGATTGCTGCGACTGTCGGCATCGGCAAGTCTTCCACTTCCGTCAAGGTAGCTCTCAATGTACGCACGAAACTCGCCACTTCCGAATCGGACATTTTGAATCTTTCTTTGAGGTTGGCACCTGCAATAATTCAACACATTAATTAGGAAACAATGTGGTTTAGAGGGTTACTCCAGTTTCCAGTATTAGGTATGTATAGGGTCAATGGCACGTCAAGATTAAACTCTATGCCACTTACAAGAACCGTCCAAAATTTCCAGCTTGACTGTACAAGTGATTAATAGTTTAGCGATATTCTAACCAGCGCAAAAGACGCCGGGCACAAGGCTGTGTATTACGACCACGGAGACGCCGGTGTCCTTGCGCAGCAGCTGGTGCATCTCGCGCATGGCAGCGAGCAACTCAAAGCCCAGCGCATTGCGGTCTCTACGCCGGTTGAGGCCGTATAGTGCGATGCCACGATCCTCGCCGATCAATTTCTCAAACACCACTAGGTTGTCGCTTTCAGTCTGCGTATGCGTTGACATCAACCGTGTATTGCGCCCGCCAACTATGTATTTTACTAAACTGAACTTACGCAGCAACATGATCATGACTATCACAATTAAAAAGATATAGGTAGTGGAATGTGGTGGAATGATCAACAGTGTTCTGTGGGAATAGTGTTGAATCTTGGTAAAAATTTCATTTTGAAAAAAATCATATTTTTCAGATTTCAGAAAAATAAATATTTTTCTGGACATTTTTTTTCTAATTTTTTTTTGTTTGTTTTGTTTGTTGTTGTTTTTTTTTTTTCTTCTTCTTTCCATAAAGGAAAAGGCAAAGGTTTTACACCATACAGCCAAGTCTTGGTACATTATTCTTTTTTTGGTGAAAAATAAAGGCATACGCCAAGTCTTCATTTCATTATACATTTTAAAGGCGATACGCCTCGTCTTCGGTGGTCAAGTCAGGGTATAGTTCCAATTCCGGTTAAAATTTCAACTCCGAGTGTTCGTCAAGTCCAGTGATCGACAATTCCGATTAATGCAAAATCCATTCTAAAGATCTTCTATTGTAGAACAAATGAAATTATAAATATGATTGTAAGTTTCAGGATTCTTGAGAAGTTCTTGAGTACCGCGCGGGATCGGACTCGAAGGTTGGTAAATAGATATTAGCTTATCAATTAAGGCTAAGCGCTGAATATTATAATTGGGGCAGTCAAATATTATATGGTCCAGTGTTTGATCAAAGTCTAAGTTGCATTCTGTGCATTTAGGCGACAGGGCTATTTTCATCCTATGTAAATGAGCATTGATGCGACAGTGGCCAAATCGTAAACGAGATATAACAGTATAAAATTTTCTTTCTTTGTATTGTTGTGATTTGGAAAACCAAGGTTTTTTCCCAATATCTTGATTAATTGAAGCGTACCAAGAACCTTTACGTATTTTAATATCGTTCCAACGAGTAAACCATTCAGAGAGGATATCTTTCTTGATCTTGGATATTAGGTCTGTATAATGGACACCATATGAGACAGTGGTGCCCTCATCAGTGTCCTGGCATCCATTGAAGTTGCATGCTGTTTTCGCAAGGAAATCTGCGCTTTCATTGCCTCTCACACCTACATGCGCCGGTGTCCACATAAATTGCACGTGAATGTTGTCATTACGTAGTTGCAACCACATTTCCTTAATATCGTAAATAATAAAATTAACTTTGCTATTCATAGTTGTGCTTTGTAGAGACTTTAAGACGCTCATACTATCCGTCACAATAAGCCATCTGTTAGTTTGTTTGCTTTGTTTTATAAACTGGAGAACTTTAAGAATAGCCAGAGATTCCGCAGAAAAGATACTAAAACATTCTGTTAGCTTCTCTCCGTAACCGAATTTTAAATGTGGTACGTAAAAAGCAAATGAAGAGGTAAATGCCGACTTTGAACCATCCGTGTAAATTGGTATCAAATCTTTAAAAGTGAAAATTTTCTGATATATTTCTTCTTTGGTTTTCAAGTTTAGGTCAATGTGAATAGGGATGGTAATATATTTGCTTTCGTAGCTTCCATTAAAACAAGTCCAGTTCTGTTCACTTGTATATAGTTTATTGCGCAGTTTTATTTCATTTATGTATAAAAAGTCATGAAGAATAAACGGGGCAGAAGATAGTTCACGAAAGGAAAAGGAATTATATAAATTATATATTTTTTTTAAAAGAAGATTTGGATCTAACGAACATAAATGGAGAAGAAAATTAAATTTTAGATATTTAAATCGCAGGATTAAAGGGGGAACATTACATTCCACCTGCAAGGAATTAATTGGAGTAGTTCTGAAAGCACCTGTAATAGTTCTTAAGCTGTGGTTCTGGAGAATATCCAATTTCTGGACCAACTTATCATTTGATGCGTAGCAAAGGAAACCATATTCGAAGTGACTGCGTACTAAAGACTTATACAAATTCAATAGTATTTTGGGATCTGAACCCCAATAGGTTGATGATAATGATTTTAAAATATTTAATGCCTTTGAAGCTCGTGCGGTAATGTGCTCGACATATTTATTCCAGGACATGTTTTTCATAAAAGTAACACCTAAAAATCTTACGGAGTCTGCAAAAGATAACTCTAAATTATTATAAAAAAGTTTGTAATGTTTTCGTTTAATGCCCACTCCATTAAAAATAACTACTTTGGTCTTATCAGCATTTATGTCTAAGTTTAAATATTTGAAATAATTATTTAATTTACTTAAAGCAAGATTTAATTTGTTTATAGTCAATTGTAAATCTGAGCCTGAGGAATAAACCACAAGATCATCAGCATATTGCAGGTTGCTTACTTCTGAACCCAAAACATAGTTGAGCTTGTTTATATACAACAGAAACACTAAAGGGCTTAATATCCCACCTTGACATACACCTTTAAAAGATTCTCTGGGGCCAATCAGATAATTTTTAACCTTGGCATAAACTTCTCGTCCATGCAAAAACTTAAAAATCCATAGTACGATTTTTTTAGGTAATCCTAGCAACATTAACTCTTTTGACAGTATGTGAAGATTGACATTATTAAACGCACCGATGATATCGAAAAAAATTGCGAACAATGTATTGTGTTGTTTAAAAGAATGAAAAATATCTAATTGAAGATGAGTTATACTCTCTCTAGCAGATCTACCTTTTCTAAAACCAAACTGGTTAGAGGGTAATATATTATTATGTTCTATATAGAATTCTAATCTCTGTTTTAAAAGTTGTTCAAATATTTTCCCCATACAAGATGTCAAAGTTATTGGCCTGTATGATTCATAATTATCCTTATCCTTATCTGGTTTAAGTGCAGGGATGAGACAATCTGTTTTCCACTGTGTTGGTATTAAATCTGTAGCCCATAGAGAATTATAAATATTCAGTATTACGTTTCTAGAATCTATACTGGCATACTTTAGCATCTTGTATGGAATACCGTCAAGTCCGCAAGCTGTATCTCTCCGTGAAGATATCGCTGCATTAAACTCCCCTAGTGTAAACTGATTTGTTAAGTATTCAGAGTGAGAAGCTGGTACAGACTGTTCAATTAAATTCAATGGAGACTCAACGGTGTCTGGTGTATATTTCTTAAGAAAATTATTGATCAAGTCTATGTTGGTTATGACATTAGTGCTTTTGGGTTTCTTATTAAATTTTCTCATCATAGACCAGATATATGATAAAGGAGTTGTTCTGTTGAATGTTTCAGTTAGAGAATACCAGCTCAATTTTCTCTCATTATTTAAAATCAGTTTCCTTTGTGCCTGTTTTTGTTTAAAAGTCAAGTAATTTACTTCACTTGGATCTGCTTTAAAATTTAAGTATGTTTGTTTGACATCTTTTACAGCATTTGCACAGTTTTGATTCCACCAAGCCAAAGGTATTCTTTGTTTTTTAGGTTTTGTCAAGGAGTGATATATATGTGAAGGTGCACACTTGTGTTGAATTAAAGTAGATTGTTCTGCAGCTACATTAATAATGGCAGTTAATTCTGAATATGACTTTAATGGATTGGAAAGGTCGAAGTTATGGTTTGACATCAAACTATCTAACACCATTGTATATTTTTTAAAATCAATGTTTCTACTACTTAAATGATGAGGAAAAGGTATATTGTTTTGATAATTAGGTACAGAATCATGAGAATTGTCCTTAATTAATAATTTTGTTATTACAGGTAAATGAAAGCTACCAAGTGGGTCATCAGTTACTATCCAGTCAGAATTAAGAGCCAAAGAAGGCGAAACAATGGTTAAATCCAAGGCATTGGGCTGCCAAATGTGTGAGCCAACAGTTGTAGGATGTCCATTATTAAGTATGACCAAACCATTTTCATCTGAACTTTCATAGATGTCACGACCCCTAGCATCGATAGATGAACATCCCCAAAGCAGGTGGTGGGCATTAAAGTCACCTGCTAGAAATATTGGTTCCGGAATATTACGGATGAGATTATTTAACTTTTTCTTTGAAAACTGAAGAGTGCAATTACCTGGACTATATAGACTTATTATAGATAATTCTTTATTACAATATTTTAATCTAATAGCAATATTTTGAAGTGAATCATCATATTTTGTTTGTATACTAGTGTAATTTAATTTATTGTGAATTAGTATGGCTACACCATTATGAGTGTTGCCTGAATCTAACCTAACCAAGTTATATTCTTTAAATCTTATTTTGTGATGTGGTTTTAGCCACGTTTCACAAATTACTGCAATGTGAATATTGTTCTCATATAAAAATTGTGAAAAAATATGTCTATGGCACATTAAGCTCTGAGCATTCCATTGAACTATGTTCAGACTGTCCATTAGTGTAATATGTTATTTTGTTTTTCTACATTAAATGTCTCTATGAGGATATCTTTGATGGATTTTGAATTGATTTCTTTTTGATTCAATTTATTGAGGGATATTAATTTAACTATTGAATTTAATAAAATGTCTAAAATTTTTTCTGAGTTTAATAGGGAAATAAATTGATCAGTTTGTGAAACTTTTCTATGTAGGGAGGGAAATGACTTTTCATTGACTACTGCGGAATATGCTCTCTTTTGAAACAAATCTGTTTTGTTTTAATTTTTGTATTTTTACTGGACACTCCTTCGATATAGCTATATGCCGACCCTGACAATGTAAGCAGGTAGCGTCTTTAGTGTCTATCGTACATGTTTTGAAGTTGTGGTTGCCTCCACATACTGAGCATCTTTCTGAGTTCTTACAAAATTTGCCAATGTGACCATACCTGAGGCACCGTAGGCATTGCTTCACTGGTGGGATGTAGGGTTTTACATCAAAACGCCAACTGTTGAGGTCTATGGATTCTGGCAGGACTGGGCAGGAAAAGGTAATGGACACGGTTAGGGTAGGAGTAATCTGAAAATCATTGTCAACTTTATTTCGTCTCATAAAACGTCTTATTTGTACTATGTGTTTTGTACTGGAGATGGTGTCATATATTTCTTGGTTCGATAGATTGATTGGAACGTGTGAGATGACTCCTGTCACCTCTGTGGCTCCTGCAGGAATTGTCGCTTTCATTTTATATGAATCCAAATATTTGGTGTTTGTGAGGGCAGCATTAGCAAACGAAGCTCGCTCAAATATGACTCCTATTTTATATTTGTTAATTCTTACCAATTGCTTAACTCCCTTATTAT